AATGTCAGTTGAATGATTTACTTGCTTGTGTTACACAATGTGCTTCACAAATCTCAGGATAAAAAATATTATGTCATTGTATTTGCAAGTGCTTGTAGACTTTTAAACTCAAGAAGATAGTAATTGCAATACGATGTACGAATATTTTGCACAAAGAAGTTTATATGCGTACTTCAACATTTGGTAGGAATACATAATAGATAATTCCACAATTCTTTACTTTTTTTTGGGGGGTACTTAAAATATGTATAACGATTGAAAAAATAAGTTTCATAACTGCTGTGATCAATAATATTGTGAAAAATAAATAAAACTAATTCAAGTCAGATGTGTCCAGCTAGGTTGAAAAAATATAAACGATATAAAAAAATCTACGAGATTGGTTTACCCTAAGTCTAGTCAGTTAATTAAGTCGTGAGTTAATTTTACGGACCCCATGAACACATGACAGTCAATTTATTAAAAAGACAATGATGGATCCTGTTTAAAATTGTCCGATCAAAAACGTTCACCGATAGCCATAAAATAAAACGGAACTGTTTTCATAATGGCTTAGCTTGTAAAAAATATTTAAATAGAATAATTATTGTGATACTATATCGAATGATAATAATTTTCAGTTTTTTTAATTCTTCTCTATGTTAGACAAGTATTTTTTTTTATTGCATTTATATTTTCGTTTAAAAATAATCCTTAGTAATCTTCAATTTATGAGTCATTTTGTCCATTTAAGGTAGTCTTGTTATTTTAACATAGGATTACAATTTGAGTTTTCTCCGTGTGTTTTGTTTTCTTGTTCAACTTGAGATACGTTATAAATGAAAAGGTTGATGCAAAATTAATGTTCGTGTCATTTCTATTGTATTAGCCTGAAAAAATAACCTACTAAAAAATGGTTACACATTTTCACAATCTTTTACTTTAAAAAATATTGCATAAGGAATTTTTTATTTCAACAAAGATAACTTTAATTTTATTCATTTTGATTTGACATAATCGTTTTTCGTGATATATAGTGCCTTAAACAACTTTAATCGTTATAATAAAGTATATTTAAAACAATATTAATTATATGGATCACAAGATTATTTCATTATATAAATTATAGTCCTTTTAATAAGTATTTGAATTTAATTCCTCTTAGAACTTTGTGAAAACACGTTTTCGCATATTTAGATCAAACGTAATTCATTTGAGTTTTATCAATGTTTTATATTCATAAACTTTTATTTTTATTACCCAATTTTGGCAACAAAATAAAAATGTGTTTACTCAATGATAAATGACAATTATATGGCCATAAACGCCCACTTCTGACAGATGATCATCATTTATTATACTATCCGGTTTGGATTACCTAATCGCAATACAATTGTAAGAAGACATTTGACTGGATATAAATTTAAACTTGTTGACCTTAGTTTTAAATAATTAAAAAGATGTAGCGAAAACAAAAAATGTAGGATGTAACTAAAACTGAAATGTAATATAATACACAAAAAATGAACAATAAAATAAGGAAAAAATTTATATACAAAAGTTTTTGGTATTATTTGTCATAATATGACATAATATTATCATTGAAAATAAAATTTTATGAAAATTCTATAATAATGATGTATTTTAATTTATTGTGAACAACTAATGAACATTATTCGTGACATTGATATAAAGTACTTATTTAAATGTGTAATTTTTATTGAAATAATATAGTAGTAATAATAATTAAGATAAATCAATAAAAGTTTTGATCAAGTATACATTTGATGCCTATAAAAATAACTCAATAATTACGTTATATAATGATGATGCAGAAATTTCATAACGGTTTTTTTAAAAAAATAATATTTCAAAATTTAGACGTTTATTTTAAAATGACTAAAATTTACTACAGTTAATATAACTCGAAAATCACTCAATTTTTCAGTGTTTTAATTATTTTATAGTTTTCAAAAATGTGTTATATATTTATTTTTATACCTGTCTGCTATTTGATAATTTTTTATATAAATGTAATTAAACGTAGACTATAATATACTAAATAATTACATATAATATTTGACAGAAGTGTGAAATGTTGTTTCAAAAAAAAAAAAATGTGAATTTTTAGTTCATATTGGTCATAAACAATTCATTTGAACATTTAATTTAAAACGTGTATGTGCAAAAAGATTAATACAGAAAAAACATTTTTTAAGTAAAATATCAGAAAGAATACAATCATACACGTAGCTGTGCTAATTTTAAAAGTAACTTACAATAATTCATAGAGCGGGCGCTTGAGCTGAGTTGAATTTTTAAGTGGTGATTATACTTACCTCATGTGATGAATTTACCTGATAGGTTCTCACAGTGATCAAATGTGAAATAAAAATGCCAGCACGAAGTGTACCTTTCGTATTTTCGGTTATATCACATGGTACTGGTTGTGATATTTTGGAATAGCGACAAAAAAATAAGTTGCACGTTTTGCTCATATGTTATTTTCATATATAGAAAAGGGAACAACTAGAAAAAAAAATATTTTACATTTTTGTTTTCAAAATCAAAACTAATTTTGAAAAGATAATTGAATAAAAAAAAAATGTTTTTAAATTCTGTCATCATATAGAATATTTCATTGGATAAAAAAGAAAATACTATTATTTATAAAATAATTTTTAAGGTTTACCAAAATGTGAAAAATTTAAGTGTTTCCTTAATCTTGATTTATTATTACTCAATATACTAATAAATAGTAACTACTTGCTAGTAAATTTAATTAGTTAATGAAATTTCAATTACTTTTTTCAATAGTCATTTTTGTATTAAACCAAAATCTAACAAACATTTGATTTTTACAGGCGTGTTTAGCGTTCTTGGTATTTTTCCAAGTAGCTAATACTCAAGAACTAAACCCTAATAATTTAGAAATAGTTTTAAATCTTGAAGATACAAACAAAACTCAGTATCATGAACAAAACTTTGATACAAGTAAGTGAATCTTTTTGTAAAAAATGTTTTATTGATTGTTTTAAAAATTAAAACTAATTGACAATGATTGGTAATTAGTTTATACAGCGGGTTATTTTTTCCAAAAAAATAATGATAGTCTAAAGAAAAAAAACTTAGTCCCTCAAATTATTATAATATGAACTGTACACCTATACCACATTTTATATAACTGCGTGATACATATTATTATTATTATTAGTTTATTATTAACAAGGGGAGGTCACGGTGTGGTACCCACCGATTTTCATAAAATGTATATAGATCTATTCTATATTGACTATTTAATCACCTTTATTTCGAATTTGTTGCCAATGCCCCCCCTAAGTCGAGAAAATCGACTTTGAAAATTGTTGTTTAACTTTAATAGAGTTAATTTTTCAATTGGGATAAGGTCGTACTATTGTCTAATGGATAGCGCGTGACAGTCCGATTATGGGGTTCCGAGTTCGAATCTCTGAACGAGACATGAATTTTTTGCATTTTTTTTTCACTTTTTTTTTTTAATTTTTAACTTTTATTATTATATTACTATTTTTTATTTAACTTTATGTCTCTAAAAGACTATTTTTAACACTTTCAACATTTATTATTCTTTGAATCATCAAATGATCAAAGGTATAAGTTT